ACAAGTAATATACTAAAGAATTATTACAGAGTGTTAATAATCATACACCACACCCACAATGTTCTATCTGATTAATCATTAAACCTGTTCTTGCATGCATCTTGATTGACACATACCTTTATACTTATGTTTAAACTCGTCAATTCTATTACTATTTTTTATGTCCACACTTAGATTATTCCATAGTTTTACCCCACTTATGGAAATACAAAATCTTTTTTTGGTTGTACGCATAACATGAATTTTTAAATTTAACTGACCCCTTAAATTGTATCCCCCTTCCCTTTCATTAAATAGTTTTTGAATTCCACCAGGTAATAAATTGTTCCTGGCTTTATACAAAAACACAGCAGTCTTATATCCCACTAAATCAAAAAAGTCCACTCTACTGGACTCAACTGTTCTACTCTGTCTACTCCACTTCAGTCTACCAGTTCACTTGACTGTGCTTCAGACCACTTCAAGGATAAGCTCACTTTATTTTAATCTGCATTTCCCGTATCACCTTCTCTGTGGTACACATTCAGGGAACAAGAAGTTGTTACCGGGGCAAGGGTTTAGCCTCTGAAAGAGTTCAGAATAAATGTAATGTCAGTCAAATGGTTTGTCGTGCTTCTCTGAGTCAAAGATTAGGCTTGGGCTGCAGGCTGAGGCTACCTACCCAGGCCTAATCTTTGCTTTCCTTCTGACTCAGAGAAGCATGACATTACATTTATTCTGAACTCTCTCAGAAGCTAACCTTTTGTTTTCCTGAATCTCTACAATTAAAGTAATGATAGCAAAACCACTGTTAAAAGAAACAGAGCAGGTTCCAAAAAGCAACGTTATCATCACATCACCCTGCAGGAGCAGAAACAGCTCTAGTTAAGAGTTATAACTCTGTCTTGCTCTAGGTGAGTCTGGGGCAGAGCCTGCATTGACCCTTGAGCTCCCACTGGCTGCACCCTCCGGCCAATCGCAGACTGAAAAAGATGCATACAGTTAATGACATCACAGCTTCCTGTCCATTGATACACTTTGATCCAAGGAGAAGAATAAAATGTGCTGATCAATTCTGTTCTAAATCATCAATAAAAGCATTT